CCAATCATTGACTAAACCCTAAAAGTCAACAAAAGTCAACCCTCCGGGTTACGCTGCGCGTACCAAATCTGTACACTGGGCGTACCCACTGACTTCACAGAATTGGGGAATGCGACCCCCTACGTTGCGTGTACTGGGATTACGCCCCGCGTAACTCCCAGTTTCATACTCCTTTTGATTTTGGGTCTTAAATGGTTAAGACATATACTCAAACTTCATATCTGACTTCTCTAAGGCCACTTAATCCATAAAGTTGAAACCTTTAAGCCTTTGCATGGCTGTAAAGATCACCAATCACTCTAACACCTTTCCTCTTCCCTCATAAAGCCTACATCTCATGCATGGCTTAATATTCACGTCCAAGATTGGATTTTTATGAACCCTAAACTCATAATACTCTAAAATATAGTAGATCTAAGCTTATGGAGACCTTTTGCTCATAAATTCTCCACCTTGGGACCAAAAACCCTAAAAATTGGTCCATGAAGCATAAATCAACAAAAACAAGGAAAGCTCCGAGAGTTTTACCTCCAAGTGAAGTTCCTACCTCTGTAGAACTCAGATCCAAGCTTGCACTCCAACTTCTAGCCTTCACAAGAACCTCCTCTTCTTCTTCACTAACACACAAATGCACTTTTAGCTCAAGAACATTCACACATAAGCTTAGAACGAAGGTTGGCTCTCTCTTAAGGTTTCACTCTCTCAAATGGTGGCTGAGGATAAGGCCATAGCTTTCTTTATATAGGGCTCAAGTCTCATTTAGCGTTTTGAGTCTGGACCCGCTACGCCCAGCGTAACCTAAGGTACACCCAGCGTACTGGGTGGATCCAAAACATGCCCATGAGTACGCACAGTGTACTCTTCAGTATGCCCAACGTACTCATTTTCCACAATCTACTTTTAAGGGCTAAACAAGACAACTTAGAAAGAAGGAAGGGTTAAGTAGACATACCTGAATTTCGGGATGTTACACTCTTGATCATGCAAACCTTTTTCTTCATACTCAATTCAATGTGTTTGATGAAATTGATCATCACTTGAGCTGTTTCTAATTTTAGTTGTAGAAAATACACCCAAGTAAACCTTGAAAAATCATTAATAATGACCAAGATGTACCTCTTCTTGTTTAGAGTTTCAACATTCGAAGGTCCACAAAGGTCAATGTGAAGAAGTTCCAAAGGTTCAATGATCTTCGAATAAATGACAATCGGATGACCTTGTTGATGTTCACATACAGTATCATTATCAAATTTTAAAATAGGTAAACCACGAACAATATCATTTACCACAATTTTTTTTTTCAGATTCCTAAAGTTCAGATGAGAAAGTCTTTGATGTCATAGCCAACTTATATCAGATGAAACTTTCGAAAGTAAGCGTACGGAGGGAACACCAGTAATAGGTTTGATGTTAAGGGTAAACATGTCGCCTTTTTTTGTACTTGAGAAGAACTTCTTTAGTTTCTTTGTTCGAAATGACACTTCCTTCTTTGTAAAATACAACCTCATTACAAGTGCCCACTACAAGTTGTGAAACACTTATCAAGTTATGTTGCAGACCTTCGACAAATGCTACCCTGTTTACAGTAAATTTGCTATTTGTGACTTTCCCATAACATTTTACTTGACATTTTTTATTGTTGCCAAATTTCACCACACCAGCATCATCTAAACTTCTATAGTCTCGCAAGTTTTCCTTCCTTCCAATCATGTGACGAGAAAAACCACTATCAGTGTACCATTTGTCATCATATTGTTCGTCATCCAAAACCTGCAATCAGTGAAAAAATTTAGGTCCTTTAGGCTTTTTGGGTCCTTGGTTATAGACTTAAAAGCATTATGAAAAGAAGATCCTAAGACTCAATTATGAACTTTTGATTTCAAACTATCAATTAAGTCCACTTCGTTAGACAAAGGTATAGAAACGAAATCTTTCATTCGTTTAGTGTCAACACTGACTTTCGCCTTTCTCTTCTCAGTTTTCTTTTATATCAACCTTCTCTTTTGACACAGCTCTCTATTGTCGAACTAAAGGATTCAACTCTTTTGATGAAGAACTACCATTCAAAAGATATGTATAGATCTATATGGGGTCTGACAACCCCACCTGCGATTGTTAGCTACAATCTCGGCAAGATAACTTTCTTATTATTCCTTATTCGACGTCCGATGTAGCGTCGTGTCGGGGCACAATTTTAGTCAAACAACGTCGATTATGGGGGCTCATGGTAATACATTAGATCACCTTAGGGTATAACTACCATTAGGGACGCCTTAGAAATTAGAATGGTAGATAAAATATGTTAGGATTAAATAAGAATCCTAATAAAATACTAAGAAAGGATCGTTAGATATCCTAGAAGTTGATAAGATATGATCGTTAGATATCCTAAAAGATAGTATGATAGGGTTGATAGAATACTTCAGGAAAGGTTTTTCTGAAAGAAAAATAATTCTTAAACTAATACAACCCAATAAAAGCCGAAAACTCTAAAAACATGTGCACACACGAACATTATGTTGACGTTTTCAAAAATCGTATGTGTTCCTAGAAAAGAGTAAGAGATCAAGTCAGGAAAGGATTATCACGAAGACTTGTAGAAAAGGTACAAGATTGGCGCTCTATGATTTTGGAAATCTTTATACCCTCACCACACGATATTTTCCGGCATCGTTTGGGGAGGGTGTAATGATCATATTTTAAGAGCATATTCCATATTTTACCATTTTAGTGATTTTTTTAATCTGCACATGTCTATTTGTATGTCTTTAAGACTAAACACTTGTATTAACCATGAAGCGTAAAAGCCAAAAAAATCTCTAAAGCCTAGAAGAAATAGTATTTGGCACCCGTTAGTCACCTTCTAGGTCTTTTGATCTGGTTCTCATTTTTTTTCCTACCTAGCTCAATTGATGATGATGAAACAAGTACAAATATCTGAGGGAAACCGTTGTTGTCTTTGACCGACAAGCCGCCTTTGTTTGACTGTTCAACCTCACTCTTGAACCCTGGGCCGGTCCAAAGTGTTGGGTGACAACAAAACAAGTTAAGCACTTCAGACAAATATCAAAACACAAACTTCAGTAAACTCACTAAACTTCTGAAAACGTAAATCGAAAGAACACGATATTTAACATGGTTCAATCAAGGTGACCTACGTCCACGGGGTAATGAGAGAGAGAGAGAGAGAGAGAGAGAGGATTTTATTAACTTTTTGGTACAATTACAAGCACTCAAAATTGTATCTTACTTTGAGCTCTCACATAAATTTATCAATTTACAATGATGGGGTGTGAGCCTATTTATACTTAAGGGATCAAACCTAAAACCCTAATGGGCCAAGCCCATTGGACCATAGGCCCATGAATGGTGACAACCAATCACAATCTGTCATGCAACATCTTCTGGAACATTCTTGAGCATCATCATCTTCTAGGCATACTTGGATCAACATGGCACAACAAAGGAATCAATATGGCGAATCATGTACCAAGATGGTCCATGATGGTGCAATAGCTTCTTCATGGCGCAACAGCAACCCTAGATGGCGCAACAGGGATATAAGTGACACAAGAGCATCAAATATGGCGCAGAAACATCAATCTTGGAACAACAGCATCACCATGGAGAAACAGGCACATGCATGGCGCAAGAGGAGAACAAGATGGCGCAAGAGGGAGTGTCATGGCACAAGAGCATCCCTTTTGGCCCATCCCTTTATCTAATGGTGCAACAAGGACCCCTTTGTTGCTCCATGTCCTTCCCAAGTGCTCCAAACCTCTTCCAGGTGCTCCAAAGCTCTTCCAAGTGCTCCAAACCCCCTTGTACATGATCCGTTTCTTTGACACTTGATCCGTTCCTTTGTCTGATGATCCATTCCTTTCTCAGAACATCCGTTCCTTTATCACATGCTTCATGAACCTCAAGTGCTCCTTTGAATTCTAAATGCTCCAAATGCTTCATGAACATGATCAAAATGCTCAATGTTGGACAAGTCTCCATACCCCAACACAAAGGTAAGGTCACCATCGATGACCACTCCTAGTTTAATATTTTGAAGGCATATAGCTACTTGCATAAATGTAATTTGCAAATGTCTATAAATATGAAATATAATATCAACTACCATCATCATGTAAAAATAAAAATAAAAAGGTAAAGTAATATTTAATTTTTCGATGGTCCATAAAGAAAACATGCATCTATTTCTATGAGAAACTTGGCCTCATTAGAAAAATGAAGAAGCGATATCTTGAATGGTTTATAAATTTCCGCAAATACAATCCAGAAAGTAAATACCTGATATGATGAATATCCTGATTAGATTGTTATCATTTGGAAAAGGAATCACCAATACTAGGACTATGGAATTACTCCTATTGTGATTTGATTGTTCTCATCTTGAAAAGGAATCACCAATACTAGGATTCTTGAAGCAATAGTATCATTGAATTAAAATAGATTAGTCAGTTTTTTTTAGCTTTTGTCTTGAGCCCAAAATATGTTTGGACATTCCTACTTGACTCGAATCATTCGAAGTTGGAAGCTACTGCTTCGAATATATGCTAATATTCAGTCAATAAATTAGCTTTATATAATAAATTAAATCAATTTAAGTTTGTTCGGATTCAAATCCAAAACAGATCATGGATACAATACATACTAAAGTTTGAGGTTAAAAGTACACAAGGTTAAAACCAGATCAAAATTGAAGTTTAAAAAAAATGAAACTAAAATTTGGTTTAATTAAAATCTAGAATTGGTCACCAAACCGTGCATGATTGGTATCTATTTGGTTTCACGTATCATTGTAGCCTCTTGATATAATATATTGAAAATAATTTCACATTAACACCATACAATATACACCGAAAATAAAATGAGGAATGATATAAATTATAAATTATAAATTACAAATGTATAATAAAATAATTTAATATAACATGATCACTATCACAATTTTTTGTATTGTGTTCCTTAATCTGATTACTAAAGTTCTACTACGTATCCATCAAACACAATAATTGTTTGAATCTATGGGCGGCAGCCTCCGGCAAGCAAATACAAACCACCATAGCACCATTAGAATTATCCACCCCTTCAGGGAGGAGTACACATACTTGAGGTGTCGGAGTTAAATCGATCGGACCCACGTAAATGGCCTGACCCCACCCAAAGTCTGATGACTCATACATTGAGAAACGGGTCCATTGGGTGATTGTTAATTTCCCTCCAAATTCAAGCTTACTAGGCCTATCCACCTCAACATAATCAATTGTTGATCTTAAATACTCTTCCGAAACCCCTAGTCGGGCTTCACGTACCAAACGGGTCACATCTTGTAATGACCCGTTTACTAGATCCGACACAGTGCTATTGGCACATGCAATACAAACCACGTTCCCATAAAATCCTTCTTTTAACGGTGGATTTTTAAGTTTTGACCGAGCATTGACCGAAAAAGTCAAACGTAAGCCGAAGTCAAGAGGCTTCACATTAAGTGCTTTGACCCATGACCTCCATACGTGAGCTGCCATCGCATCAAAAGTGGTGCAACCCAAACTATCTGTGGGTCGAGCCACATTCTTCAAATGGGCTTGGAACTCTCGGCTAAGCCAATAACACTTTTGAAGGGGTTTCACTTCCCAAAGACTAATAGTCAAGTTAGAACCATCATCAATCTTCATAAACTCGGCATGAGGGTATTTAACCATGGGAGGGTCACGGGGTGCAAAAATCTCCCTATCCCAACAAGGTTTCGGATCTATCACCAATGAGCCCGTTTTTGCAGTTGAGGCCCAAGCTCCAAGGAATTGCATAGCCCCAAGCCCATCACAAATACAATGACAAATCCTTAGCCCAATGCTAAATCCGCCACAACTAAACCTAGTAACTTGGGCTATTAGCAAAGGCATGTCAATAACTTTATAATCACCTTCATCGGGGAATTTGTAAACCAAATTGGACCAAGCTGGGTTCGGAACATTAAGATCACCCAAATAATCCAATGATAATTCGGTATGAGCCTGAACCATGAGCGCACCCTGGTTAGGCCCAAAAAACACTTCCAACTTCCCATTTCTAGTCCCCCTTAACCTACCTGAGAAAGGGTAGTAAGGGACCAAAACCCTAGCTAGGGCATCTCGTAAAATGGCCACAATATCATCAAAAGAACTTTTGGTTGCATTATAGAAGTAAATAGTCGGGGTGAAAACTCGGGCTCCAATTATGTCATCGAGGTTTGAGAGATACAATGTATCCCCATCTTGAGCCTTGATTGCTCCTGCGGGAAGGATCGGAAAAGATCTGTCTATCGAGATGGGGATGTGAAGGTCAGGGAAATGACGCTCTTGAACCCATGACGACAACAAAGGAGCCATTAGAAAATGATTGAGTAGGAGAAGTTGGATTTGGCCATGAAAATGGCATTTGTAAACATATTTGTGCAAAATTTAAGGGGTTAATGGAAAACCATGCCAAGATGTTGAGCTACAAATAAATAGGGGTTTCAAATGGTAGTTGAGAAACAATGTTTGCATGAATAAGGAGTACAAAGAGAGGCAGTTGAAATACCAACATTCTTTTACTTTAAATTTTATTTAATCTAACAAGTATGTAGAAGGATGTTTGATCAACGACAAAACCAAAGTGCTAAAGTGCACTCGTTCTTATCACATGGTATAAGAAAAAAAAGGAAATGGCAACTTATTTTTATACATTTTTTACACGATATATTCTATATAATAATATTATATTTCTATGTACAATTGTACATAATAACAACCTATTTTCTTTTTATGCCGATATAGAAAATATACTTTATTTTTTATTCTAAATAAAAAAAATTAATTGTATTGTTTTACACGTAATAGCAATTTATTTATACTTTTTCCTGTAAAGAGAAACCATCACTTCTAAAGTACTCGTCCCATTTGTTTGTGCCCATGCCGTATGCCAGCTGACGAATCGAAGTCGTGCATTTTTGAATGGGATAGAAACCTTTTTTCCCCTTGCATCCATTTTCCATTGGAAATATGGAAAACAGACTTCCAAATCGCCAACAATACGTAAAAATAGTTTCATCCTCATTCGGAACCGACGTCGAAATTTTACAGCGTAGACGGCATCATCTGCAAAATAATCTTCTATAAGACGATCGTGTCCGGCTTCGTGATTTCTACGTAACGGCGGCTTTCTTAGGTTAGATCGTGCACGTGATGTTTCACCAAGTCGGTTTTGATAGTATGCAACCGTTTTCGCCATGACGGAACCAATAAACTTAACCTCCTCTACTGCTGTCGAATTTGATGATGAAAATGATAACATTTTGAGTAATATTTTTAAGAGAGAAATATAAAGAAATATAGATTATGGTTTAAAAAATGATAAAATGTTTGAATATTTATAGATGAAGAAAAGGGGAGGAAAAAAGAATATATATATATATATATATATATATATATATATATATGTTAACGGCTATATAGCCGTTTGAGTAAAAAAGAAAAAAAAAAAAGAAAAAAAAAATGCATCGGCCAATGGTTAGAAGAGAGAGAGAGCGGGACTCTCTCCCCCTTGTTGCTTCCCGCGGTTCCTTTCCCGCACACACGGTGCGGTGTGCACAGGTGCAGGATCGGTTCCCGCTCCTTTCCCTCACCCCACTCCGTCCGGCCTAAGGAATGACAGATTTGCCATTCATGTCGATTTATCGATAATAATTGTTTACATGGCCATGGCTAAAATATTTGGGGTTTTTTCATAAATATAATCAAAGGAATTTTTATTTTTTTTAGTTTCTTTTAATTTTATTGTATTATCTTATTTTAATCTTAATCTTAATATAATATTTTATGTATGGTATAAAGTATTATCTTATTATTATCTCATTGTAATTTTTTATTTGACAGATGATATTACTTACAACAAAAAAAAATAGAAAGAAAAAAAGGCATTTGTAAAACAAATGATATCAATATTGTTAAAATTACAATCATGATCGTATTTACGATCTTGCAAACCCACAAGTAAAATGATATTGATAATACTTGGGTTATTTTTTGTTAAGATTATCTATAATGATAGTATGATCGATCCTATGATTGTTACTGTTTAAAAGTAAAAAATCTAATATTTTATTTTGGACTAATTAAGTGCATCGGCTAAAGTGGGACTAACCCATTTGGTAGATGTTTTGTCACAGATTGAAAGTCTCAAGTTTTAATCTGAATGCTAACAAATTCTTTTAATTTAGTGATACTAACTTATATACTACTAATTAGCCGTTAAAAAGGTGCACTGAATATGAACCTTAGAAAACATTTTTGAAATTTTTATTGTTAAATGATGTATATGAGATATATTTTTCATGTTTTGAAGTATTTATTATTTGAGATATGTTTTCATGTTAGAAAATATTATATTTCATTTTAATTTGACTTCAAACAAATCAGTTGTGTAATTTTTAAAAATTCTATAGTTTACACATAATGTAAGGACATTTTAAAAGATTTTCTTAATCCTTAAGGTTATTATGATAAATAAATGATGAACGACTTGTTTTTTTATAAAACATTATTGTTCTAAAAAAAGATAATATGAGAATACAAGTAACTAGAACCTTTTGTTAAAAACAAATACCATTAAAACTAGAAATGAGTAGTCTAATCACTTTTTGATGTATATTTGAAAAAAAAAAATAACTTGAATATATATATTTTTATTCACAAATGACCACTTTGTCCGGAAGACATTCCTGACCAAGAAAGAATATTTTTTTGACTAACTCCGGTATGACATTACGGATTCCAAACATTCTGGATTTCAGACTAAAATTTCGGATTTCGGACAAAAAAAACTCTAGAATAGTCTGAAATCCGAAGAACAATTCCAAAATTCTGAGAAAAAAAATTTGTTTTTACTTCAATTTTACAAAATGTAAAACAAACAAATATATATATTAGTACATAAAATCATACATTTTATTGAAAAACAGTAATATTAATACACAATTTTGGACATAAATGACAATATTTTTTCAAAAAAAAATTGGTAAAAAAACCAAAAAAAAATTCCGGAATTTGAAAATCAAAACTGAAATGGAACATTTCGGAATAAAGCATTCTTTGGAAAAAAATGGTCCGAAATATAAACAGTAGTCCATATGAGACATTTAGGGCGTGTTCGGCATGCAGCATTTGAGAGCTTTTGGTTTCTAGCTTTAAAAAAAAAAAGCTATTAAAAAAGAAAAAACATCATTAGCAAGGGGAGCGTTTAGCTCTTAACCTAAACAAAAAGCTCCAAAATCAAAAACTCCATGAAGTAGCTTTCACGAAAAAAGCTTCAAAATCAAAAACTACCCGCTACCAACTAGTTTTTGACGAACAAAGCATGCGGAGAAAATAGTCATTTTTTCAAAAACTGAGAAAACATATGGTTATTTAACAAAAAAAAGGTTTGAGCAATAATGGTAAGAAAAATCTTTTAAAATGTCCGATAATTCGTTTTCCATTTATGACATTGACCCCTAAATTTATTTTTACTTATCTTTTCGAAAAAAGTTAAGCACACACTATGGCAGATTGTCAACACAGTCACCGATACCAATAGAATAAAAATTGCACAGTTTTTTGTCTCATTCAGATAAAAACCTTGCTCATGTTCTTATCTATTATCAAGAAAACCAACTGGTAGAAAACAATTTTATCATACCGCTTATTGCTCAAGTCAATTTCACTTAAAACATAACAAACAACACAATTACAAACTCACATAAATAAAAATATGGCAAAAACAGAAACTAAAATTTAAGTATCATAATCATAATCATCATCATCATCATCCATGGGTGTTCTCTCTACTTTCTGGGTGAATAATGTAAAACCCCAGAAAAGCCTAAAAGTTCTTTTCTTAAGTAAAAATTTCCAAGTAAAAAAAAAAATAAAAAAAAATAAAAAAAAAACTGTAAAAAAAAATGTCACTATGCCATCTCAAAACAGAAAACAAAATACGAAAGGAAGTTTATTATGCATTCCACAGCATATAATCATATCTTCTTTTTTCCTTTTTTTTTTTTAAATAAAACTTCTTACCTCACAGGCTGCTGGTTGTAGTGATTCTTCTCCTTCTTCTTAGCAGCTGCCAGCCTGGCGGTCCTTGCAGCCGCCTCACTGGCGGCAGCTCTGGCGGCAGCATCCATTTCCTTGCTGGATTTCTTCTTCTTCATGGACGCCATTTTTTTAATCTTCTCTTTCATATCCACTCCAGACAACTCTTCAACCTTTTCTGATTCACCTTCTTCAATGGAAACTTCTTGTTGTTGTTCTTGTTCTTTGGTTTCCTTTTTATCTTTCTTCTTTTTCTTTTTTGAAGTTTTGCTCTCTCCGCCAGCTGGCACACTCTTGTCCTTCTTCTCCTGTTCTCCATTTTGATTCTCCACCTTTTCACCTGGCAAAAGACGTAAATGCCCTTGTTAGTGAGTAAATTAATAAAATGGGAAAAAAGTAAAGTGGATAATGGATTGTGTTGTTTTTATCTTACTAGTGGTGTCTTCTTGGGTATTGTTGTCATTCAATCCTAATTCAGCAAGAACTGCATCAAGTTCAGCAAGTTCCTTTTTCTTGAGCTCTTTCTTTGAAAGCTGCCTATCAGTGTCTTTTGGAGGCAAAACTTCTGCAGGCTTTTCATACACAACCTCCTTTTCTGCTTCTGCTTCTTGTTCATGATCGATTTCTTCATCATTGTCATCATCAATTTCATCATCTTCACTCTCACTTTCCTGAAAAATAAAAACTCAACCAAGATTAACATTTTTTAGTTACTAACTCACACACAAAAGTGACAAAAAGTTTCGAAATGATGTTCGTACAAGATTTACATTTTGATGATAACATTGTTAGTCATGTGAAAAGATCGAAAGATTCTCAATTAGGTCAAAAGTTTCCGATGATGAAAATATAGGTTTTATCTTACGATGAAAAACTTAGAAACTATGAGTTTACCAATCATAGAAACAAATAGAAATTAAGAAACTGTATTTAGAAAGAAAGTAAACATTAAGCCATCGAATAACGACAAAATGAAGGATGTAAATTACCAAGTTGCGCAAATAATGATATAAAACAAGGAAAATTATCATGCAGATTCATCTTAACCTAGAAATATGTAAATATGAAATGCCATTGACAAAATGAGAATACTAATATATAGTCGTTGGCTTTTGTATCCATAATAATCGTGCGTACATTCAGACCTAATTCTAACATAGCATAAACGAAGAAAGGGAAGGAAAAAGATACATGTTGAACAAGGTCTCTCAGAAACTAAGAGCTACATGGTAGTGTAGTAACCATTATGCTATAACACCATTGAGATACATGTTGAACAAGGTCTCTCAGTTGAATTCAGTAAACCATGGTTGTCATCTAATGTAATTGCATAATTCATGAGTTAACAGGATCATATCAAGCAAAACATTATATAATAAAGATCTATAGCACCATTTAGATAGCTGTAGATGCAAATGCAGTAAAAGCTGAAAGACAAATTCAGGTTCTTTCAGTCCTCACCTCAACTGGAGTCTCATTTCCTTTCGCCTTATCTTCCTGATCCCCAGCACCAGCACCCCAAACAGATGGTGGAGGAGCTGTGGTTGCATAGTAATCATCGTCATCCTCATCATCCACATCTGCCCATGACTTCACCGTTAATGGTGCTGGAGCCCAAAAAACCTGCTCCTTCTCCCCATCCTTATCCTGCCCCTTTGAGCTACCACCCTTTCTGGAAGAACCATGCTCTTTATCCGACTTCTTCTTCTTCTTCAAGCTTCCAAGGGCGGCAAAAACATTTGTGCTGCTAATCGCTATTGAATCGTCCTTCCTACTTCCACCTCCAGCCATTTTTCAGCAAAATCAACAGATCGAAATGTCAAGTTTTTGAAAACTTAGGGTTTTAGTTTGAAAACAGATACACTTATATACGTATATGTATATATACTTATACACACACAAAAGTGAACCTGAAAGTAAAGTTTTGACGATTTACTTAGTTCTAATCACAAAAACTCTTTAAATATCGGCAAAATCGAAATCGAAATCGAAATCTAACAAAACAACACTAGTACCAAATTGCGGATAAGATTAACACAGAACGATAACGTTCCGTTTGGGGATTTGACGAGATAAACGATCCTCAAAACACCAAGCAACAGAACTCAACAAAATTGAACTGGAAAACAATAATTTGGATTCGATAAACACTAACAACAATAATCTTAGACTAAAGAAGATCAGTAATCTGTTCTTTTTCCAAATCGACTAGAATTGACTTCTGAAATGGATGGATTACAGAAACGGGTAAGGATTTGTAATAATTTGATAATTATGAAAGGGGAATCGCACAGAAGATAGTGTGCGAATTAGGGTTCGGATGACGATGAGCTGCTGCTATGAAAATTGAGGTGTTTTTGCGTGTATTTAGGTTTTATTTTGGTCTGTTTTAATGTGTGTTCACTACGGTTTCAGTTTTTTGGTCTTAGTGAATCTCTACCGTCTATTTGGGATAACGGTTGAGATCAAGCCATGTATGAGATCTTAAAATATCGATTTTTTCTTTCATGTAGACTTTATACTTTATAGTATATTTCATTTAAGGTTGGATAGATATTCCTATACCAAGTTACATGTAAATGGTTTTTTTTAGTCGTCCACCTTAAAATCATTATAAATTGTAAAAAAAAAAAAAAAAAAAAAAAAAAAAAAAAAAAAAAACAACTTACATGGCTGATCTTTGGAAAGAAGATCGATACTCAGACCATGTTTTGTTTTTCTGGACGGATGGAAGGAAAATATGTTTGTATAGATCTAACATGAGTTTCTCCTCTTATGGGCCAGAGGACTGAGTGTTTTACAGTGGGGCAAACAACTTTAACAGTTGTCTAATGTAAAATAGCAAAACACGAGAAAACATACATGAAAAACCAATGTGTTAATCATTTATGTTTAATACATTTGGTTTCTTTATATCAGAAGTTGTGGAGCTCATCAATAGAATTCAATGAGTCATACATACATAGTAATGGTATGACCCTAAGATTTGTAGATGTTATTTTTAAAAGAATTAGATTTGTCATCCAAAAAGGATTAACGATTCAG